TTTTGGGATCATTTTGGGGATAATTTCAGGGTAAATTTGGGATAATTTTGGGCTGATTTTGGGGAGGATTTTGGGGTGACTTCAAGACAACTTTGGGCTGATTTTGGGTTGATTTTGGGGATAATTTTGGGGTGACTTCAAGAGTACTTTGAGCTGATTTTGGGGTAACTTCAGGCTGTTTTAGGGCTGATTTTAGGGAGGATTTTGGGCTGATTTTGGGGTGACTTCAGGCTGTTTTAGGGCTGATTTTAGGTTGATTTTGGGGATAATTTCAGGGTGACTTCAAGAGGATTTTGGGCTGATTTTGTGTTGATTTTTGGGATAATTTTGGGGTGACTCCAAGATAATTTTGGGCTGATTTTGGGGTGACTTCAGGCTGTTTTAGGGCTGATTTTGGGGATAATTTTGCGCTGATTTTGGGGTAACTTCAGTCTGTTTTAGTGCTGATTTTAGGGATCATTTTGGGGTGACTTCAAGACAACTTTGGGCTGATTTTGGGTTGATTTTGGGGATAATTTTGGGCTGATTTTGGGGTGACTTCAGTCTGTTTTAGGGCTGGTTTTGGGGATAATTTGGGGTGACTCCAAGACAACTTTGGGCTGATTTTGGGTTGATTTTGGGGATAATTTTGGGGTGACTTCAAGAGTACTTTGAGCTGATTTTGGGGTAACTTCAGGCTGTTTTAGGGCTCATTTTGGGGATAATTCCGGGGCAATTTCAAGACAACTTTGGGCTGATTTTGGGTTGATTTTGGGGTAACTTCAGGCTGTTTTAGGGCTCATTTTGGGGATAATTCCGGGGCAATTTCAAGACAACTTTGGGCTGATTTTGGGGTAACTTCAGTCTGTTTTAGGGCTGATTTTAGGGATCATTTTGGGCTGATTTTGGGGTAACTTCAATCTATTTTAGGGCTGATTTTAGGTTGATTTTGGGGATAATTTCAGGGCGACTTCAAGACAACTTTGGGCTGATTTTGGGCTGATTTTGGGGATAATTCCAGCGTGACTTCAAGACAACTTTGGTCTGATTTTGGGCTGATTTTGGTGTTTTAGGGCTGATTTTAGGTTGATTTTGGGGATAATTTCAGGGCGACTTCAAGACAACTTTGGGCTGATTTTGGGCTGATTTTGGTGGTTTTTTGGCGCAGCCATGGCAGCCTCGGGCTACCTGAACCTGGCGGCCGACGCGGCGCACAACTTCACCGACGGGCTGGCGCTGGGCGCGGCCTTCTGGGGCGGCCCCGCCCGCGGAGCGCTGACGGCGCTCTCGGTGCTGCTGCACGAGCTGCCCCACGAGCTGGGCGACATGGCCATGCTGCTGCGAGCCGGCTGCTCCAAGGGACAGGTGACGGAAATTTGGGGGGAAAAACGGGGAAAATGGGCAAAAAAATGGGATGTTGGAGGACTGATCATAGAGTTGGGGGGTGGCAGGGCGGAGCGCCATCTAGTGGCGCCTCTATGGTCACTTCCGGTGCCGCCATTTTGTGAGGGTAGTAAAGGCCCCGTGAGGGTGAGGCCCCAAAAAAATGGGATGTTGGAGGACTGATCATAGAGTTGGGGGGTGGCAGGGCGGAGCGCCATCTAGTGGCGCCTCTATGGTCACTTCCGGTGCCGCCATTTTGTGAGGGCAGAAAGGGCCTCATGAGGGTGAGGCCCCGTCCCTTTCCAGTCCCTCCCAGTTCATCCCAGTTCCCTCTTGACCCACATTATTTCACTCCCAGTCTCTCTGAAGATGGAATTTGGGCATTTGGAGTAGGAAAAATTGGGAAAAAAAAGGGGGCAAAAGGAGGAGGACCAACCATAGAGTTGGGAGGTGGGAGGGGCAGGGCACCCCCTAGTGGTGGGTGGTGGTGTCACCTCTATGGTCACTTTGGGCTGATTTTGGGGTAACTTCAGTCTGTTTTAGGGCTGATTTTAGGGATCATTTTGGGCTGATTTTGGGGTAACTTCAATCTATTTTAGGGCTGATTTTAGGTTGATTTTGGGGATAATTTCAGGGCGACTTCAAGACAACTTTGGGCTGATTTTGGGCTGATTTTGGTGGTTTTTTGGCGCAGCCATGGCAGCCTCGGGCTACCTGAACCTGGCGGCCGACGCGGCGCACAACTTCACCGACGGGCTGGCGCTGGGCGCGGCCTTCTGGGGCGGCCCCGCCCGCGGAGCGCTGACGGCGCTCTCGGTGCTGCTGCACGAGCTGCCCCACGAGCTGGGCGACATGGCCATGCTGCTGCGAGCCGGCTGCTCCAAGGGACAGGTGACGGAAATTTGGGGGGAAAAACGGGGAAAATGGGCAAAAAAATGGGATGTTGGAGGACTGATCATAGAGTTGGGGGGTGGCAGGGCGGAGCGCCATCTAGTGGCGCCTCTATGGTCACTTCCGGTGCCGCCATTTTGTGAGGGCAGAAAGGGCCTCATGAGGGTGAGGCCCCGTCCCTTTCCAGTCCCTCCCAGTTCATCCCAGTTCCCTCTTCACCCACATTATCTCGCTCCCAGTCCCTCTGCCCATGGAATTTGAGTGTTTAGGGTAGGAAAAAATGGGAAAATTGGGGAAAAAAAGGGGGTAAAAGGAGGAGGACCAACCATAGAGTTGGGAGGTGGGAGGGGCAGGGCACCCCCTAGTGGTGGGTGGTGGTGTCACCTCTATGGTCACTTCCGGTGCCGCCATTTTGTGAGGGCAGAAAAGGCCCCGTGAGGGTGAGGCCCCATCCCTTTCCAGTCCCTCCCAGTTCATCCCAGTTCCCTCTTTACTCCCAGTATCTTGCTCGCAATGCCTACTGGTGCTTGGGGTGCGAAAAAAAAAGGGAAAATAGGGGAAAAAAACAGGGAAAAAAGAGGCTGCTGGAGGACCAACCATAGAGTTGGGTGGGCCAGAGCGCCCCCTAGTGAAGGGTGGTGCAGCCACCCTCTCTATTGTCACTTTCGGTACCGCCATTTTGTGAGGGCAGAAAAGGCCTTGTGAGGGCGAGGCCCCTTCCCTCCCAGTTCATTCCAGTCCCTCCCAGTTCATCCCAGTTCCCTCTTCACCCACATTATCTCACTCCCAGTCCCTCTGCACATGGAATTTGAGCATTTGGGGTGGGAAAAAATGGGGAAAAAACAGGAAAAAGAAAGGGGGTAAAAGGAGGAGGACCAACCATAGAGTTGGGCAGGTCAGAGCGCCCCCTAGCGGTTAAATGCACCCTCTCTATGGTCACTTCCGGTGCCGCCATTTTGTGAGGGCAGAAAAGGCCCTGTGAGAGCGAGGCCCCTTCCCAGTCCCTCCCAGTTCATCCCAGTAACCCCAGTATCCCTTCCAGGCCATGCTCCTGCAGCTGCTGACCGCCTTGGCCGCCCTGGCCGGCGCCGCCTGCTCGTTGCTGGCCGAGGGCTCCGGCACCGGCGCCGTTTCGGGGATCCTTCCCTTCACGGCCGGCGGCTTCATCTACCTGGGCACGGTGTCGGTGCTGCCCGAAATCCTGAGGGACTCCGGCCCCGGCCAGGCCCTGCTGCAGCTGCTGGCGCTGCTGGCCGGCGTGGCCATGATGCTGCTCATCGCCTACTATGAGTAGGAGTTCCTAAAATTCCCAAAAATCCCCAAAAATTCCGAACCTCCTTTTGTCCCGTGTGGAATGGGAGGTGGCCCTTCCTGAATTTTATCCCGTTTTGGGACCAAATTGAGGCTTCGCTCTGAGGAAAATGGGAGATTTGGGGTTTAAAGCGTGAGAAAAATGGGAGATTTGGGGTTTGGTGGGGGAATTTTGGGGGATTTTTTGGGAATTTGGAGGGATGGGGGTGGGGGGGTTTTTTTACCACTAATGATGGCGTTGTGGCGAATCATGATGGATTAAAACATGAGGAAGAAGACGAGATGAGTGCATGGAATAAATTGAGGGATGAAAAATGAGGATTTTGGGGAAAAATCTGGGGAAAAAGAGGCGTTGGAGGACTGACCATAGAGTTTGGAGGACTGGGCGGCCCCTGGCGGCGGGAGCGGCTCCGCTCTCTGTGGTCACTTCCGGTGCCGCCATGATGGGGAGGTCAAAGTGACGCGTCCTGATGGGGGGGGCGGGGATTTTTGGGGACAATTTGGGACATTTTGGGGACATTTGGGACATTTTGGAGACCCAACCCCCGCTGTCCCCTCCCCCCTCCATCAATCCCAAATTTTTTTTTTTTTGCGAGAAAATTCCAAAGTGGGGGGAGGGGCCGGTGCCAAATCCCCTCCCCCCCCTCTTTATTGAGGGGAAAGTGGGGAAAAAATTGGGAATTTTGGGGTTTTTTGGGGATTTTAATGGGATTTTTGGGGATTTTGAGGGAAATTTTCAGGGAATTTTGAGGGATTTTAAGGGGATTTTTTTAAATTTTAATGGGATTTTTAAATGGATTTTTTGGGGGATTTTAATGGGATTTTTGGGGAATTTTAATGGGAATTTAAAGGGATTTTTGGAGATTTTAAACCATAATTTTTTGGGGGATTTTAAGGAATTTTTTGGGGATTTTGCTGGAATTTTAAGAGGATTTTAAGGGAATTTTTTGGGAATTTTAATGGGATTTTTTTGTGGATTTAAAGGGAATTTTTGGTGGAATTTTTGGGGATTTAAAGGGAATTTTTGGGGATTTTTTTGGGATTTTAATGGGAATTTTGGTGGAATTTTGAGGGAATTTTGGGGGGATTTAGAGGAACTTTGGGTCGATTTTATGAGGAATTTTAAGGGAATTTTAGGGGAATTTTTGGGGGATTTTAAGGGGATTTTGAGGAATTTTGGGTGAATTTTTAGGGAATTTTAGGTGGAATTTTGGGGTAATTTTAAGAGATTTCAGGCTGGATTTTGGGGTCATTTAATGGGATTTTGGGCTGGATTTTGGGGCAGTTCCATGGGATTTTGGGTCCATTTTTCGGGATTTTGAGCTGGATTTTGGGGTCATTTCACAGGAATTTGGGCTGGATTTTTGAGATAATTCCACAGGATTTGGGGCTGGATTTTGGGGCATTTCCATGGGATTTTGGGGCTGGATTTTGGGGTAATTTCACGAGATTTTGGGGCTGGGTTTTGGGGAAATTTCATGGGATTTTGGGTCAGATTTTGGGGTACCCCCTCGATCAATCCAAAATTTTTTTTTTTTTGCGAGAAAATTCCAAAGTGGGGGGAGGGGCCGGTGCCAAATCCCCTCCCCCCCCTCTTTATTGAGGGGAAAGTGGGGAAAAAATTGGGAATTTTGGGGTTTTTTGGGGATTTTAATGGGATTTTTGGGGATTTTGAGGGGATTTTAATGGGATTTTTGAGGGAATTTTAGGGAAATTTTCAGGGAATTTTGAGGGATTTTAAGGGGATTTTTTTAAATTTTAATGGGATTTTTAAATGGATTTTTTGGGGGATTTTAATGGGATTTTTGGGGATTTTGAGGGGATTTTAATGGGATTTTTGAGGGAATTTTAGGGAAATTTTCAGGGAATTTTGAGGGATTTTAAGGGGATTTTTTTTTTTATTTTAATGGGATTTTTTATGGATTTTTGGGGGATTTTAATGGGATTTTTGGGGGATTTTAATGGGAATTTAAAGGGATTTTTGGAGATTTTAAACCATAATTTTTTGGGGGATTTTAAGGAATTTTTTGGGGATTTTGGTGGAATTTTAAGAGGATTTTAAGGGAATTTTTTGGGAATTTTAATGGGATTTTTTTGTGGATTTAAAGGGAATTTTTGGTGGAATTTTTGGGGATTTAAAGGGAATTTTTGGGGATTTTTTTGGGATTTTAATGGGAATTTTGGTGGAATTTTGAGGGGATTTTGGGGGGATTTAGAGGAACTTTGGGTCGATTTTATGAGGAATTTTAAGGGAATTTTAGGGGAATTTTTGGGGGATTTTAAGGGGATTTTGAGGAATTTTGGGTGAATTTTTAGGGAATTTTAGGTGGAATTTTGGGGTAATTTTAAGAGATTTCAGGCTGGATTTTGGGGTCATTTAATGGGATTTTGGGCTGGATTTTGGGGCAGTTCCATGGGATTTTGGGTCCATTTTTCGGGATTTTGAGCTGGATTTTGGGGTCATTTCACAGGAATTTGGGCTGGATTTTTGAGATAATTCCACAGGATTTGGGGCTGGATTTTGGGGCATTTCCATGGGATTTTGGGGCTGGATTTTGGGGTCATTTAATGGGATTTTGGGCTGGATTTTGGGGCAGTTCCATGGGATTTTGGGTCCATTTTTCGGGATTTTGAGCTGGATTTTGGGGTCATTTCATGGGATTTTGGGTTGGACTTTAGGGTGATTTGGGGCTGGATTTTGGGGTGATTTGGGGTTGGATTTTGGGGTAATTTTTAGATATATCAGTCTGGATTTCATGCTGGATTTTGGGGTCATGGGCTGGATTTTGGGGCAATTCCATGGGATTTTGGGGCAATCCTGTGGGATTTGGGGCTGGATTTTGGGGTAATTTCAAGAGATTTCAGGCTGGATGTCATGCTGGATTTTGGGGTAATTTCATGGGATTTTGGGGCAATCCTCTGGGATTTGGGGCTGGATTTTGGGGTCATTTAATGGGATTTGGGGCTGGATTTTGGGGCAATTCCATGGGATTTCAGACTGCATTTGGGGCTGGATTTTGGGGTAATTTCATGGGATTTCAGGCTGGATTTCATGCTGGATTTTGGGGTCATTTAATGGGATTTTGGGGCAATCCTGTGGGATTTGGGGCTGCATTTTTGAGAGGGCTGGATTTTGGGGTAATTTCATGGGATTTTGGGGCAATCCTGTGGGATTTGGGGCTGGATTTTGGGGTAATTTCAAGAGATTTCAGGCTGGATGTCATGCTGGATTTTGGGGTCATTTAATGGGATTTCAGGCTGGATTTTGGGGCAATTTCATGGGATTTTGGGCTGGGTTTGGGGGTAATTTCATGGGATTTTGGGCTGGATTTCATGCTGGATTTTGGGGTCATTTAATGGGATTTTGGGGCAATCCTGTGGGATTTGGGGCTGCATTTTTGAGATAATTCCATAGCATTTTGGGCTGGATTTTGGGGGGAATTCCATAGGATTTGGGGCTGGGTTTTGGGGCAATTTCATGGGATTTTTGGGCTGGATTTTGGGGTAATTTCACGAGATTTTGGGGCTGGGTTTTGGGGAAATTTCATGGGATTTTGGGTCAGATTTTGGGGCCATTTTGTGGGATTTTGTGCTGGATTTTTGAGATAATTCCATAGGATTTGGGGCTGGATTTTGGGGCAATTCCACGGGATTTTGGGATGATTTAGCGCTGTTTCCTGCTGGATTTTGGGGTAATTCCCTAGGATTTGGGGCTGGATTTTGGGGTCATTTCAAGAGATTTCAGGCTGGATGTCATGCTGGATTTTGGGGTCATTTAATGGGATTTCGGGCTGCATTTTTGGGGTCATTTAATGGGATTTCAAGCTGGATTTCAGGGCAATTCCACGGGATTTTGGGGCAGATTTTGGGGCCATTTTGTGGGATTTCGGGGCCATTTTGGGACGGATTTCGGGGCCATTTTGGGGCAGATTTTGGGGTGATTCCTGGGGCTGGTGGCGCTCAGAGCGCGCCGCGCTCGGGGCGGGCGCGGCCGAGCTTCATGCCGCGGATGATGAGCACGGTGCCGGCGGCGATGCCCACGATGCCCACGGCCAGCCCCAGGGCACAGACCGCCGTCTCCGTGGCCTCGGACGCCGGCGCCACGATCTGGGGTTCTGGGGAAACCCGGAATTCCCTAAATTTGGGCCGTCCCGAAATTTTCATCCCAAAATTCCCAAATTCTTCCTCTTCCTGAATTGTTTCCAGCCCCAAATTCCCGTTTTCCCAATTTTCCCAAATCCCAATTATTTGTGGGATTTCGGGACAGCTTTCGGGGCCATTTTGGGGCAGATTTTGGGGCCATTTTGTGGGATTTCGGGGCCATTTTGGGACGGATTTCGGGGCCATTTTGGGGCAGATTTTGGGGTGATTCCTGGGGCTGGTGGCGCTCAGAGCGCGCCGCGCTCGGGGCGGGCGCGGCCGAGCTTCATGCCGCGGATGATGAGCACGGTGCCGGCGGCGATGCCCACGATGCCCACGGCCAGCCCCAGGGCACAGACCGCCGTCTCCGTGGCCTCGGACGCCGGCGCCACGATCTGGGGTTCTGGGGAAACCCGGAATTCCCTAAATTTCGGCCGTCCCGAAATTTTCATCCATCCTCATCGTCATCCCAAAATTCCCAAATTCTTCCTCTTCCTGAATTCTTTCCAGCCCCAAATTCCCAATTTTCCCAAATCCCAATTTTTCCAAATCCCAATTATCCCAAATCCCAATTATCCCAAATCCCAATTTTCCCAAATCCCAATTATTCCCAATCCCAATTTTCCCCAATCCCAATTTTCCTAAATCCCAATCATCCCAAATCCCAATTATCCCAAATCCCAATTATCCCCAATCCCAATTATTCCCAATCCCAATTTTCCCCAATCCCAATTATCCCACATCCCAATCAACCCAAATCCGCATTATCCCAAATCCCAATTATCCCCAATCCCAATTATTCCCAATCCCAATTTTCCCAAATCCCAATTATCCCAAATCCCAATTATCCCAAATCCAGCAATTTCCACCCCAAATCTCAAAAATCCCAATTTTTTTTCCCAAAAACCCCAAATCTCACCCCAATGCCTCTTTCCAGACTCGTCCAACCCCTCATGCTCCACCTTGCAGTCCTGATAACCCCAAATCCCCATTTTCCCAAACCCAAACATCCAAAAATCCCAATTTTTCCACTAAAAACCCCATTTTTTTCCCAAAATCCCCATTTTTTCCCCCAAAATCCCCATTTTTTCCCCCAAACCTCACCCCAGTGCATCTTGCTGGGCACCACCATCCCCTCAAGCTCCACCTTGCAGTCCCAATAACCCCAAATCTAACCCCAAAAATCACAATTTCTGTAAAAAAACCCTGGGGGCGAAAAACCGGGATTTTAGTGTCAAAATGGTGCGGCGAAAATTGGACTGGTCTGGTTGGGATTGGGTTGAAAACTCGTGAAATTGGGTTGGATCTGAGTGGGGTTGGGGTGGAACCAACTGGGGTTGGGTTTGAGGGACACCAAAGTTTGGGATTCCACCAGGATCCTTCTGGAATTGGGTTGAAATCCCCAAAAATTGGGTTGGATCCAGAGCCTGAAATTTGGGCTGAAAACCCCGAAAATTGGGTCGGATCCAACTGGGATTGGGTCAAATCCAACTGGGGTTGGGTTTGAGGGACACCAAAGTTTGGGATTCCACCAGGATCCTTCTGGAATTGGGTTGAAATCCCCTAAAATTGGGTCGGATTCAGAGCCTGAAATTTGGGTTGAAAACCCCTAAAATTTGATGGGATCCAGAGCTTGGAATTGGGTTGAAAACCCCAAAAATTGGGTTGGATCCAACTGGGATTGGGTCAAATCCAACTGGGGTTGGGTTTGAGGGACACCAAAGTTTGGGATCCCACCAGGATCCTTCTGCAATTGGGTTGAAATCCCCTAGAATTGGGTTGGATTCAGAGCCTGAAATTGGGTTGAAAACCCCTAAAATTGGGTTGGATCCAACTGGGATTGAGGTGGAACCAACTGGGGAACACCGCCACCTCCGGGGGCTCTGCCGGCACCGCCGAAATCGGGGCGAAAAACCGGGATTTTAGTGTCAAAATGGTGCGGCGAAAATTGGACTGGTCTGGTTGGGATTGGGGTGGAATGTGATGAAATTGGGTTGGATCCATCTGGGTTTGGGTTTGAGGGACACCAAAGTTTGGGATTCCACCAGGATCCTTCTGGAATTGGGTTGAAATCCCCTAAAATTGGGTTGGATCCAACTGGGATTGAGGTGGAACCCACTGGGGCTGGGTTTGAGGGACACCAGAGTTTGGGATTCCACCAGGATCCTTCTGGAATTGGGTTGAAATCCCCTAAAATTGGGTTGGATTCAGAGCCTGGAATTGGGGTTGGATGTCCCTAAAATTGGGTTGGATCCAACTGGGATTGAGGTGGAACCAACTGGGGTTGGGTTTGAGGGACACCAGAGTTTGGGGTTCCACCAGGATCCTTCTGGAATTGGGTTGAAATCCCCAAAAATTGGGTCGGATCCAAAGCCTGAAATTTGGGTTGAAAACCCCTAAAATTGGGTTGGATACGACTGGGATTGGGTCAAAATCAACTGGGATTGAGATGGATCCAAATGGGATTGGGTTGGAGGGAAACCAAAGTTTGGAATTCCACCAGGATCCTTCTGGAATTGGGTTGAAATCCCCTAAAATTGGGTTGGATCCAACTGGGATTGGGTTGAAATCCCCCAGAATTGGTTCTGGTCCAACTGGGATTGAGTTGGATCCAGCTGGGATTGAGGTGGAACCAACTGGGATTGGGTCGGATCCAACTGGGATTGGGTCAAATCCAACTGGGATTTACTGGGATCCAACTGTGGTTGAGGTGGAACCAACTAGGATTGTGTTGCATCCTTCTGGAATTGGGTTGAAATCCTCTGGAACTGGTTCAGATCCAACTGGGATTGGGTCGGATCCAACTGGGATTGGGATCGAGGGACACCAAAATTTGGAATTCCACCAGGATCCTTCTGGAACTGGTTCAGATCCAACTGGGATTGGGTTGGATCCTACTGGGGTTGGGTTTGAGGGACACCAAAGTTTGGGATTCCACCAGGATCCTTCTGGAATTGGGTTGAAATCCTCTGGAATTGGGTCAGATCCAACTGGGATTTGATCAGATCCAACTGGGATTGGGTTAGATCCAACTGGGATTGGGTTGGATCCAACTGGAATTGGGTCAAATCCAACTGGGATTGGGTCAGACCCAACTGGGATTGGTTGGAACCAACTGGGATCAAGGTGGAACCAACTGGGATTGAGATGGATCCAAGTAGGATTGACTGGGATCCAACCAGGATTGTGTTGGATCCAACTGGGATTGGGTCAAATCCAACTGGGATTGGGTTGAATTCCCCTAGAATTGGGTCCGATCCAACTGGGGTTGAGCTGGATCCAACTGGGATTGGGTCAAATCCAACTGGGATTGAGGTGGAACAAACACGGATTGAGTTGGACCCAACAGGGATTGGGTTGGATCCAACTGGGATTGAGGTGGAACCAACTGGGGTTGGGTCAGATCCAACTGGGATTGGGTTGGATCCAACTGGGGTTGAGTTGGATCCAACTGGGATCAGCTCAAAACCCCCGGAATTTGTCCAAATCCTTCCAGAATTGCCCCAAAACCCTCTTAAACCCCCCAAACCTCCCCAAAACCCCCCAAAATTCCCTCCCTCCTCCTCCTCCCGCCGCGTTACCGCTGGGGATGCGGGAATTGTTGTAGGCCTTCATGGAGTTCTCCAGGTTCTGCTTGTCGATGGCGATGTTCTGCAGCGCTCCCTGCGCCTCGAAGCTGGCGAACTCCTGGAATTCCGGGAGCCGCCACACCGTCTCCTCCTTCTCCACGTGGAAAATCTCGTCGCCGTCGAAGTCGAACATGAACTCGTCGCTGTCCGCCCCCGAGTCCAGGGATTTTTGGTAGAATTCCGTCTGGATGATGCTGTGGCGCACTGGGGGGAAGGGGGTTTGGGTTAAAATTTAAAAAAATTGGGGTTTTTGGTGGAAATCACAAAAAAAATTCAGGATTTTCATTAAAATTTGTGGGGGAATTGGGGATTTCTGCTTAAAATCCCGAAAAAAAATCAGGATTTCCATTAAAATTTGTGGGGGAATTGGGAATTTCTGTTGAAAAACCCAAAAAAATTTGGGATTTCTACTTAAAATCCCAGGAAAAATTGGGGGTTTCTGCTCAAAACCCAGAAAATTGGGGATTTCTACTCAAAATCCTGGGAAAATTGGGAATTTCTGCTCAAAATCCAGGGAAAATTGGGAATTTCTGCTCAAAATTCCAGAAAAATTGGAGATTTCTACTCAAAATTCACTGAGAATTTGGGATTTCTGCTCAAATCCACAGAAAATTTGGGATTTCTACTTAAAATCCCAGGAAAAATTGGGGGTTTCTGCTCAAAACCCAGAAAATTGGGGATTTCTACTCAAAATCCTGGGAAAATTGGGAATTTCTACTCAAAATCCAGGGAAAATTGGGAATTTCTGCTCAAAATCCTGGGAAAATTGGGAATTTCTGCTCAAAATTCCAGAAAAATTGGAGATTTCTACTCAAAATTCACTGAGAAAGTTTGGGGTTCCACCAGGATCCTTCTGGAATTGGGTTGAAATCCCCAAAAATTTGGTCGGATCCAGAGCCTGAAATTTGGGTTGAAAACCGCTAAAATTGGGTCAGATCCAACTGGGATTGAGGTGGAACCAACTGGGGTTGGGTTTGAGGGACACCAAAGTTTGGGGTTCCACCAGGATCCTTCTGGAATTGGGTTGAAATCCTCTGGAATTGGGTCAGATCCAACTGGGATTTGATCAGATCCAACTGGGATTGGGTTGGATCCAACTGGGATTGGGTTGGATCCAACTGGGATTGGGTTGGATCCAACTGGGATTGGGTTGGATCCAACTGGGATTGGGTTGGATCCAACTGGGATTGGGTTGGATCCAACTGGGATTGGGTTGGATCCAACTGGGATTGGGTTGGATCCAACTGGGATTGGGTTGGATCCGACTAGGATTGGGTTGGATCCGACTAGGATTGGGTTGGATCCAACTGGAATTGGGTCAAATCCAACTGGGATTGGGTCAGACCCAACTGGGATTGGTTGGAACCAACTGGGATCAAGGTGGAACCAACTGGGATTGAGATGGATCCAAGTAGGATTGACTGGGATCCAACCAGGATTGTGTTGGATCCAACTGGGATTGGGTCAAATCCAACTGGGATTGGGTTGAATTCCCCTAGAATTGGGTCCGATCCAACTGGGGTTGAGCTGGATCCAACTGGGATTGGGTCAAATCCAACTGGGATTGAGGTGGAACAAACACGGATTGAGTTGGACCCAACAGGGATTGGGTTGGATCCAACTGGGATTGAGGTGGAACCAACTGGGGTTGGGTCAGATCCAACTGGGATCAGCTCAAAACCCCCGGAATTTGTCCAAATCCTTCCAGAATTGCCCCAAAACCCTCTTAAACCCCCCAAACCTCCCCAAAACCCCCCAAAATTCCCTCCATCCTCCCGCGTTACCGCTGGGGATGCGGGAATTGTTGTAGGCCTTCATGGAGTTCTCCAGGTTCTGCTTGTCGATGGCGATGTTCTGCAGCGCTCCCTGCGCCTCGAAGCTGGCGAACTCCTGGAATTCCGGGAGCCGCCACACCGTCTCCTCCTTCTCCACGTGGAAAATCTCGTCGCCGTCGAAGTCGAACATGAACTCGTCGCTGTCCGCCCCCGAGTCCAGGGATTTTTGGTAGAATTCCGTCTGGATGATGCTGTGGCGCACTGGGGGGAAGGGGGTTGGGGTTAAAATTAAAAAATTTGGGGTTTTTGGTGGAAATCCCCCCAAAAAAATTCAGGATTTTTGTTAAAAGTTGTGGGGGAATTGGGGATTTCTGCTGAAAATCCTGAAAAAAATCAGGATTTCCATTAAAATTTGTGGGGGAATTGGGAATTTCTGTTGAAAAACCCAAAAAAATTTGGGATTTCTACTTAAAATCCCAGGAAAAATTGGGGGTTTCTGCTCAAAACCCAGAAAATTGGGGATTTCTACTCAAAATCCTGGGAAAATTGGGGATTTCTGCTCAAAATCCTGGGAAAATTGGGAATTTCTGCTCAAAATCCTGGGAAAATTGGGAATTTCTGCTCAAAATTCCAGAAAAATTGGAGATTTCTACTCAAAATTCACTGAGAATTTGGGATTTGTGCTCAAATCCACAGAAAATTTGGGATTTCTACTTAAAATCCCAGAAAATTGGGGATTTCTGCTTAAAATCCCACCAAAATTGGGGATTTCTGCTCAAAATCCTGGGAAAATTGGGGATTTCTGCTCAAAATCCTGGGAAAATTGGGATTTTTACTCAAAATCCAGGGAAAATTGGAGATTTCCACTCAAAATCCCAGAAAATTGGGGATTTCTACTCAAAATTCCAGGAAATTTGGGAATTTCTGCTCAAATTTCACAGAAAATTTGGGATTTCTGCTCAAAATTCCAGGAATATTGGGGATTTCTACTCAAAATTCCAGGAAATTTGGGAATTTCTGCTCAAATTTCACAGAAAATTTGGGATTTCTGCTCAAAATTCCAGGAATATTGGGGATTTCTACTCAAAATTCCAGGAAATTTGGGAATTTCTGCTCAAATTTCAACCCGCAGCGCCGAGTGCCCCGCGCTGGACTCGGCCTCCCAGCGCCGCGCGCTTCATTCCCAGTTCCTCCCAGTTCATTCCCCCAGTTCCTCCCACTGCCCCCCCAGTCCCTTCCAGTCCCTCGCAGCCCATTACCAGACTCTTCCCAGTTCATCCTCAGTCCATTCCCAGTCTGTTTCCAGTTCACTCTCAGATTTCCACGCTCTCTCCCAGTGCCCCCCCCATCCCCTCCCGTCTCTCTCGGTGCTATCCAGTCCCTCCCAGTCTATTCCCAGTCCCGACCAGTTCTTCCCAGTCCATCCCAGTACATTTCCAGTCCCTCCCAGTCTTTCTCTGTACATAACCACTCCATTCCCAGTCTGTTCTGTGCTCCTTCCCAGTTGACTCCCAGACCTCCACCCTCCCTCCCAGTGCCCCCCATCCCCTCCCATCTCTGTCAGTGCCAACCCAGTTCCTCCCAGTCCCTCCCAGTCCATTCCCAGTCCCTCCCTGTCCATTCCCAGTCCCAACCAGTCCAATCCTCCAAAAATCCTGAAAATTTTGGGATTTAGGAACTTCCAGAGTCAAAAATGCAGAAAAAATGGGGATTTAGGCACTCCCAGATCCCCAAAATCCTGAAAAAATCAGGGTTTTGGAATTCTGAGTTCCCCAAATTTTGGGTACAGGGGGGTTTGGGCACTCCCAAATCCCTAAAAATCCTGAAAAATTGGGATTTAGGCACTTCCAGACCCCAAAAAGTCCTGAAAAATGGGGATTTAGGCACTTCCTGAGCCAAAAAATCCTGGAAAAAAGAGGATTTGGGAATTCCAAGTTCCCCAAAATTTGGGTACAGGGGGGTCTGGGCACTCCCAAATCCCCAAAATCCTGAAAAAATCGGGATTTGTGAATTCTCAGTTCCCCAAATTTTGGGTACAGGGGGGTTCGGACACTCCCAAATCCATAAAAATCCTGAAAAATGGGGATTTGGGCACTTCCAGATCCCCAAAATCCTGAAAAAATCGGGATTTGTGGATTCTCAGTTCCCCAAATTTTGGGTACAGGAGGGTCTGGACGTTCCCAAACCCCCAAAATCCTGACAAAAATCAGGATTTTGGAATTCTCAGCTCCCCAGATTTTGGGTACAGGGGGGTTTGGGCACTCCCAGACTCCAAAAATCCTGAAAAAGTGGGGATTTCGGCACTTCCAGAGCCCCAAAATCCTGGAAAAACAAGATTTGTGGATTCTCAGTTCCCCAAATTTTGGGTACAGGGGGGGTTGGGCACTCCCAGACTCCAAAAATCCTGAAAAAGTGGGGATTTCGGCACTTCCAGAGCCCCAAAATCCTGGAAAAACAAGATTTGTGGATTCTCAGTTCCCCAAATTTTGGGTACAGGGGGGGTTGGGCACTCCCAGACTCCAAAAATCCTGAAAAAGTGGGGATTTCGGCACTTCCAGAGCCCCAAAATCCTGGAAAAACAAGATTTGTGGATTCTCAGTTCCCCAAATTTTGGGTACAGGGGGGTCTGGGCGTTCCCAAACCCCCAAAATTCTGAAAAAATCAGGATTTGGGAATTCTCAGTTCCCCAAATTTTGGGTACAGGGGGGTTTGGGCGCTCCCAGACTCCAAAAATCCTGAAAAAAGGGGATTTGGGCACTTCCAGAGTCAAAAATCCCGAAAATTAGGGATTTAAGAACTCTCTGAGCCCTAAAATCCTGGAAAAAGAGGATTTTGGAAT